CCTCCCTTGCAGCCATGAGCCACCTGAATGGGCAGAAGCTGCACGGGAAGCCCATCCGCATCACGCTGTCCAAGCACCAGACAGTGCAGCTGCCTGGCAAGGGCCAGGAGGAGCAGCGCCTGACCAAGGACTATGGGAATTCTCCTCTGCATCGCTTCAAGAAACCAGGCTCCAAAAATTTCCAGAATATCTTTCCCCCTTCTGCCACTCTTCATCTGTCCAATATTCCGTAAGTACCTGCTGGGGATGTGGCTGAGTACCTGAGTACTGGAGTGTTTGCAGCTTCTGTCTGAGTGCAGGCACAGGCAGCTCTGTGCTGCGGGCAGGAGAGCTGCCCCAGCTCCCTGTTCCATCTCCTTGCCATGCCAAGACGCTGCTGGTAGGGAGTTTAGAAAAGTCTCTGATGACAATTAGTTTTTTGAGATTAACTGGGTCTGTCAATGTCCTTTTGACTGGAAACACTATTTCTTTCAGACCCTCAATAACTGAAGAAGATCTCAAGATGTTATTTTCAAGCAATGGTGGGGTGGTCAAAGGATTCAAATTCTTCCAGTAAGTGTTTTGTGTCATGTCCTCTCCTTACACTGGGCTTCTCTATGTGGGAAGGGTGGAAGTACTTAGTTCCAATCAAATCCCAGCTCAGGCTCAAAAAGGTGAGCAGAATCCTCACTAATGCAGCATTTGACTCTGGAATAAAGAATTCCTGAGTAACTTTGGTTTGAGCACTGGCTGAGAAGTTGGGCTGTATGTGCTTGCTACAGAGATACTCCTCTGTGTAGAGAGTGAGTGTAGTGCAAGTACCTGGAGGGGGTTAGTTCTCTGCCAGCCCCATCAAGTGCTGGATGAGAGAACTTGGATCGAGTTGGGGAAGCTCCTGCACTGGAACTGAACATGCCTGAAACTTGTGTCTTGTCAGGAAGGACCGTAAAATGGCTCTGATCCAGATGGGCTCTGTGGAAGAAGCCATTCAGTCCCTCATTGAGTTCCACAATCATGACCTGGGGGAGAACCATCACCTGCGTGTGTCCTTCTCCAAGTCCACCATTTAGAGCTTGGGAAGGCCTGAGACAAAATGGACTTGACTTAAAACCTGTGGGGCTCAGCCTTGACCTTAAAAGGCTGGACACCAGAGTTTCAACTTCCATCATTCCAGAAAAAAAAAAAAAAGCCACTTTAAAAATGCAGCTGAAGTGACCTTAAAAGACCAGAGATTTTATTTTTTTAAAGAGAAATCAGTTTACCGGTTTTTAAAAAAAAAAGAAAATTAACTCTAATTCCTCTTGCTAACCTTGCGGTGATGGGTAACAATCTTGACTGTTCCAATAAAAATCACAAGTTCAAGTTTACACTATGGAACCTGCTCTGGGAAATTCCCCTCCCCTCCCCTCCTGCTCCTCCCCTAAAAAGCAGATCCCAACAAGTTTTATCAGGTTTCACATTGATGCCTTTTTTAATTTCTTTACCCATCCATGCCTTGAAAGACCTAAAACCACTGTGTGAATTCACTGTAGCGCCTTGGAGTCAGGATTGCAGTGACCAGGAGCTCCCAACCCGCCCAGCACAACTCTCGGTCGCATTGATCCCACCTTACTTGTGCACCTGCTGTCCTGTGCCTTAAACCTTCTACTTCTTGGGGGAAACATCCGAGCGGCAGGGAGGGGATGGGCAGAGCCGAGGGGGAGGAGCAGCTCTGGCCACCATCAGCTGGGGGAGCTGGCAAAGTGCAGGAAGGAAATGCTGGGCTGGGACTCGGGGCAGTCGTACCCACTGCCCGTGAGTGCCTCAGTCCCAGCGTGTCTTGTGCCGCTTCCCAGCCTGCTCGTGGGTCACTGCCACCTGCATCTCAGGTGGGAGTCACCCGAGACCCTTTGTCAGCTCGGACCAGAGAGGTCTGGGTGGGGGAGCGTTCCCAAGGCCAAATCACATTCCAGTGTCAGGAGCGAGCCCGCGGGCTCTGCCCTCACAGAGCATTGGTGAGGGACAGGAGAGCCCCTGTGGGACACTTGAGAAGATGAATCAGAGTTTGTCCAAATTGTGTGTGTATATACCTAAACGCTTGGCTAGGATTTGGAGAATCCTTGGATACCCCATGATTAGAAAGGCGCCTGCAAGGCACCTTCGTGCCCCTAATTGGAGATAACGAGGCCGCTGTAGCTCCGCCATCGTTCTTAGAGCATGTCTTCAGCATTTGAGCTTTTGTTTGAATCCTTGTATTATACTTTGATGCCGTTGCTGTCCTCTGTGCCTAGCAATATTTCCAGTTGACCAAATATTCTAATCTCTTTATATGCAAAAGAAATAGTTTAAGTACCTTTTATAGAATGATAAGATGGTATAAACGTAATCTAAATTTACTCCTTTGTGGTATTACCCGTGTATACTGTACTTTATTTTCTTTGTTTTGTAATTGAAGCTGTAGGGCAGGAGTAGTTTCCAGGCTGAGGTCGTGGCTGAGGATGAGCAGAGCCAAGGGTGTGAGAGAACGAGCACAAACAGCTCGGGAATGGAAGGAAAAGGACCCAGGCTAAAGATTTTACCTTTTGAACCTATAAGCCCAGATATTGTTCTAGGAAGGGAATTTATTAAAAGTAGAATGCAGCAGATCGGTTTTTCCCAATGATACAACCATTTTTTTTTTTTATTTTTTTTTCTGGCTTACAACTCTTTCCCGGGCCATTCTGCCTTCTATTCCGTGTGATCCAATGTTGCCTTACATTTCCCTCTAACCTGCAACCTGTTCGGATGCAAAATAACAAGAATCTTGTACTTTTTTTCAGGGTTTTTCTGCAAATTGTGGACCAAAGTTTGTTTTTTAATTGTCTTAGTGTTGCAAGTTCTGATTTCCTTGCTTGGTGTGGGAGCTCTTGACTTGCCTAGCACTGAGTGTTTGGAAAAGTCTTAACTTTCTGTAGTTCCTCCCTGGACTCTCAAGGATATGATTTATGCTGGAGAAGTGTGTGAGGTCCGAGTGGGGGCCCGGCTGGGGCTGTGGTGTGCTGGGTCCCCCCAGTGACAGCATTGCCCCAGCTGCTTTTGGGTACCTCTAAATCCATACTGGAGCCGGGGACCTCCCCCTGCAGAGCTCCCTGGGGCCCTGCCAGTGTCCTGTGCTCAGGAAGGCACATCTGGGGGTCTCGGTGGCTGTCACCTCCTCCCCTCCCTGTTGAAAGACCCTCGAGGGGACCCAGCCCGCCCAGCACAGTGGCACTGGGTGACCAGTCAGTGCCCCCATCACCCTCCCCCAGCGCTGGGGAGGCTCCCGGGGCCGGGCCCTGGCCAGGACACTCTGGGTGTCCTGTGCAAATCACGGCTGGATTGGGGTAACCGGGCCCCGGCACGGCAGGTGCTCCCTTCGGATCCTGTGTTTGCATGTAAAGAATGTGAGTAACTAAGGGTGTACATATTTATAATTTTTTTATACCTGTTGTAAGACATGAGGGGCAGCAAAACCCAGTTTTTTATGGTGACCAGATGTATTGTATATTTTGATAACAGCAATTCCAGGTTCAGTATTGTGGAAGGTGGGTGGGGAGGGGAAGCGTACACACCATCAGAATTCCATTGCCTCTTTCAAAGAATGTTTGTAATGCAAAAAGAAAAGAAATTAAAACTACTTTATAACAACCTTTGTACCTTTCTGTAGCTCCATTATTTCCTGTTGAGATTGTAGAAGCAGTTGGTGCCCAGTCTGTACTTGTGCTTTCAATAAATTCTTCTGTATCCTTCACTCCTGATCTTCCTCCTCTTTATTGTGCCTGTTTTGCTTCTGATTTTTCCTTCTCATGTAATTCCAGCTGCCTCATTTTATTTAACTTTGACTCTTCACACACTCTGGGCTGGCAGCTGTCCCTGTCTCTGTGGAGCATGGGATGGGGTCTGGCCCTCCAGCCCCTCGGTGCTGGGCCAGAGCCCTGAGGCTGGTTGGGCCCTCACTGATGTTCTGCCTGTGTCACACTCCAGCACTTTTTACTTCATGTTCCTAAACTTTCCATATGTTCTGGCTAATATCCATGAAAAATAACCCACTTTGAGTCAAACCCTCCTCTCTGTAGTCCTGTGCTATAGCTGTGGGGCTGGATGTGCTGTTCTCCATCCCGTGGGAGGAGGTGCAATTCCTGTTCCCTCCATGAGCTCCCAGAGGAGCACGGTGCTTCCTTAGGGATCTGGTTCCTTACCTGTGTGCTGAGCTCTGCTCGAGCCCCTGTCCAAAAGTCACCCTGTGTCCTGGGGGAGACACAGTCCCCACCCTGAGCTGCTGCTGTGGCTCTGCTGTCCCTGTCCCTCTGTGCTCAGCCAGCATTAGGCTCCAGCACACTCCACAGGCCTTGGGCCCCAGGGTTACCCAGGGGGTCTTGCTGCAGCCAGGGACTGCTGAAAGGGGCCACTGTTGCTCCTCGAAAGTCTAATGGGATTTGTAGCAGCTGCCCCTCCTGGTCTCGGTGCACATGTGAAAGCTGGACCGAGCGGGCTGTGTTGCTGCCCCGCAGGAGTGAGCAGGATCATTGCTCCTGGGTTGGTTCCCCGAGTTCTCTGGGGTCCAGCCCAGGCTTTGCATCCATTCCCGGCCCCTTGGACACTGATCGGCTGCTGAAGGATCGATGGGGGCAGCGATGGCCATGGACGGGGTCCCCATGGGAACGGCGGCGGCTCCCGGGGGGGCCGCATCCTGCCCCGGCTCTGTTCTGGCATCCCATCCCACCCCTTCCCGCGGCAAACCGGGGCTGTTCCAGCGGGAGCGCGCACGTCTGCACCAAAGGGCTGTTCCAGCTCCTGCCCAGAGCAGCGGGAAGGAACTCACTGCAGAGTGAACACCCTGAACCCCGGCCTTCCCTGCACCCCCGGCCCCGCTGGGTACAAACAGGGAATTGTTTACCAGCAGAAACGCCAAAGCAGAAGCCCCAAATCGGGGATCCCTGGCTGAGGGCAAAGCGAGCCCGGGGATGGGGGGGCGCGGCCGAGCCCTTTGTGTGTCACGAAGCCGGGGAGCCCTTCCCTGGTGCTCACCCGGGGACGGGCTGGGGGCAGAGGGTGTTCCCGGCGGAAATGGTCGGGACATGGGACACGGGTGGTCCCGGGGCAGAGTCCTGGCCGGAGCTGATGAGGCGGGGGCTGGCAGTCCCTCCT